TATATTACAGCATCCTATCCATCAGATAGCAGCAGTGTCTCATCACAATCAATCCCAACAATCATGCAGAAGCCACTCGACTCTAACAATAAGATTGTGAGCAATCCTTATGTGCGTCAATCCACACTCGCCGATGCACTAACGGATGCTCCTAATAACGATATGGTTAGTTATTGTGTTTTCATTACTGATTGTGAGTATGAATGTCATCCCGACAACCACTATGTTTACAACTTCATTTCAGACATCATTTTCATCGGTCACACCAAATCCGAATGATTCTCCAATTGCGCATTCGCTATTAACTGGTGTGAAGCAAATTGATCAAAAAAGAAGGTACAAACCCTAACAGCCCTACTAACTATTCCAGCCCTTCGAAGTTTATTTTTGTCACACTGAAATATCACGTTGAATATGTTTGCTCACTTGATTTACTCGTGAATATAAATGCTAAACTTCAACCACAAACGGTGCTTATAGCACATAAAACTACTAGATGTTTATCATATACTTATCTGCTAAGTGTGCAAGTGATAATGTGCAAGAGCAATACGTTTTTTGTGCAACTCAATGTGCAAGAGCAATACGTTTTTTAAACTTTTAAGGAAATTGATCAGTAGAATTTTAATAGTGTAATATTTTACTGCAGTCTAAGGAAGTGTTCAGTCGAAGGACGAGTTCCGCATTATTGATTCATTCTTCTTCGTTATATATTGCAATAATTTTCAGTGAACAAGAACGAGCTCAAACAAGAGAACAGCTACTTCTGAAGGCCAATAGAGGTATGAACTTCCCTCAAAATGGAACTTCCCTCGTTCTGTTTGGTCGCTTGGTGATGATGCTTGGAATGCCTATCAGTGAATAAAGATTGAAATCAGTTTTCTCTGTTGCAGCAGTCTACAACACATCGCCATCATCAGCTCGATATCCGACCGATTATTGGGCTGGCTATGGATTCAGTAACTCGTTACCGGCGGAAATCTTAAAAAGTGGTTTGAGTTTATTGGACAATTCACCGTCACAACCAACAACCACTCAGTACGATTGTCGACCGATTTTGCCTCAAGAGGCAAAAGTTAGCGAATCTCCGGTGAGAGCAGTTCAGTTTCACTTTTAAAAAAAACAACACTGCTGACTAAAACGATTCAATCGATCGACTGAAATCAAGCAATTGATCGTTAAAGGCTCATCGCTCGTTAACGCCTTCGATGGGTCTCGCATCAGTGCTGGAAGAGGATGAACACGCAGACTTTGGTACGAGTTCAAATTCGAACTCGAATTCGTTACTGAGTTCATCTTCATTCCATAACCTCACTCATCTTCAACANCAAGCACAGCAAGTACCTCCTCAAGCCAGCTCTACACGTCGCACCAAACGAGGTTTCGTTTCTTTTGTCAACTTTTTGGTCGTCTTCATTATTCGATAAACACTTTGACTTTGACAATTCCAAAACGAATCAGCACAATTTCAGAAGCTCGTTAGGATTTTTGACGAAAATTACTGTAAAATGAGACGAATCGCATAGTTAATTGTCGACTCGTTCATATTATTTACGGCTAACACAACTGCAGATTTCTCAGCCTCCACCGGTATATTCGAATCGAGTTCATTGATCGGCAATGATCTTCTGTGGGATATTCGTGTGTTTGTCGATCCAGCAATGGTTCTAGCACAGCTCGGTTGCAGTGAATATCTCGCACAATTTCGTGATCAAGAGGCAGTCTATTTCGTTTATTCTTCACTGTCATTCCAATCAGCCATACATACCAGCTATATTTTCGTTTCAAGAAAACAAACTTTGACTGATTTCCTGAAAAGATTCAGTTGGTCGGAGATCGAAAATGATCTGAACGATCTGCTCATAGATTAGCTTCAAATTGATGTTGCATACTTACGCTGTTGATCAGTCATCGCGTTGATCAACATCAAGTGATCCTAATTCATCACATTTGTTTTTTACTCTACT